TAGTGCGCTTTAAGTTCGGGGCACAGTTTGAGAAGTGATGAGCTGTCAGGGTGCAGCAGTGTTTGAAAAAGCGGTCCTCCTCCGGAAAAGGACAGTGGTACGACCCTGTCCCCCGTTTCCGGCTCGAATCGTTTGCTCCAACGCGAAGGATTAGTTACATACCGACTCGCATGCGTTGTGATTCCATGGCAAATTATCGGTGGAGCAGATTCTGTTGTCAGGGTGATCAAGAGGCTCTTTCTTCTTTCATAGCCTGTGGGCGGCTTTTGAGAAAAGGAAGGCGGCATGTTGAAGCAATGTCTCTACTGTTGCGTTTTCTACCTACTCGCAATCTGAATCTTCCCCGTTCGTGAAATATTTCGGATGGGTTACGGACGCGTTAGTGGTAAATCGCGACGGGTTTTTATATGCCGGCGGGTTTTTATAACGAGCATAACTTCTTTCAAACGCAATCTTTTGCAAAAATAAAAACGCCATCATAACGCCCAATGTTTCCTCGTCCAAAAAGCTCGACAGTTTTCCTGAAGATCCGCTAGTTGAGAAGAAATGTCAGGTGGGCCCCCCTTGGGCGACATTCAGAGCCACTCAAAGGCTAGACTCCTTTTGTGCCACTGTAAGGACTCATTCGCGAACTTCAATATGCCTTCAAAACACATATTCCCGTTGAACTGAGTCAAAGCATAATTTGGTTATCATCGATCGATTTGGTCCGAGTGTGCGCCGTGCATTACGCTTCTACGCAGAGGTGGTGGGAAAGGTGTAACTTCTGATTTTAGGTGAATTTTGTCCATGCAAGCAGATGTTTGTTTAGTGTTTAGGATCGATACGCTTGAATCTGTTTGAGATGTATTTCTTAGTCGTATACGTAATTAGGGGTGCATGCTATCAATGTTGCTAATCTGTCGTTTTAAGATTCTATAGTCTTTCTTACATCGGGGTCCTCTGCGGCTTTCCGCCCGCTCCATCAAACCTAGCGATGAAACTTTTGTGCCCACCAACCCTCAGTTTTCAACCCACCCCACCCCCATCTTCCCCCGCGACCAGGTACGTCCCCTGGTGGGTTTCGCAAAACGATGCTGTACCCTGGCCACCTAACTGATTTAACGCGGAAGTGCAAGTATGACAAGCCAACGAGCTAGGAGAAATTAGCTAGTTTGTACGCATCGCCGCAACGTAATCTCTGACATTACGTTTATATCATTTTCTCTATAAAATTTCCATGGTTGAATTCATACTGTGTAGTTCAAAGATGAACCCTTTAAACTGGAACGTACGATTGAGAGTTTCAGGGTAATCTGGTCAGGGACGACGACACCTTCGCACGGGAAGGGATTAACGAGTTGGTGAAAAGGTTAGGACTGAAACAATTTTCGTTTTTGTTACGTGACATTTCTGGATAGGACAGCGTTCATAGTTCGCGATTCGGGAGTATCGGCGTTTCGAGCGAATCGGGGTATTGGGCACCGATTGATACCCATACTTGCCTTCTCTTTCTGTACACCGATTCCCGGAGGCACCGATTATTTCTAAGTGCCAGATAAATAGCTACAATTCCCTTTTCGCGCATTTACCCACGACACCACTTTTCTTGAATCACGAATTATGAAAGCAGTCTAAAAGCCTTTTTGAGTCGTTCTATACTCATGGAGATGTGAAGCTCCTTCATTGGCAAGGGTAACCATGGGGGAGGGCGACTATGTGTCACGACTGCTGGCTCGTCTGCGACATCCTTCTGAGATAGTGTTTCTGAGACACCCTCCTTGTTGTAACCAGCTACCGCCAAATCGAAATCTGAAATGGAAATCACGATCAGATAATGGAATGGTAAAAGGAGTCATGTTTTTTTGAATTTCTAGTATGGGATCATACGGTTTTTCTGCACCAGCCGTTTCGTACACTATCTTATTGAGAGACGCAGATGAGTACATGGTGTGACATGCGTGCTGCGGCATCACTTCGGCAGCGTTCAGACTTCGCGACGGCAGCGCTTCGGTCGCGCGTTCGACGCGATCAATGCAGTCGAAAGCATGCGCATCGATCGCGTCGAACGCGCGACCGAAGCGCTGCCGTCGCGAAGTCTGAACGCTGCTTCCAGCTGCCGCCCCTCGCTAATCACGGTCAGCAGAATGCGCATTCGCAACGCTGATACAGTAGCGAACGTCGCCTCCCCTTCCAGTGCTCCTGGCTCGGGCTAATGGGCTCCAGACGACGAGAGTCAAGCGCGTCATAGAAAGCATGAGGTGCCGAAGCGCGTGCGCCCGCTCATGTGGCCATTACGCCGCATTCGCGCTGTGGAGTCGCTTACCTGATAGATACGCCAAGGTAAACTCATAGTTGGGGGAAGGGGTCACACTGTGCTACTTTACGAGCATGACATTTTCCCTTTCACTAGCGGCGATATCGCCGAGTATGAACGCAGCCTCAGCGAAAGGAACGAAATTTAATGAACTCCAAGTTGTTCTTTTCTGGCTGGGAGCTTTTATGACTAGAAAAAGCACCGCCTCTAGGCAGCGTTCAGACTTCGCAATGACGCGCTACAATTACAAGAGCTTTGGACGCGAATGTAGGCGCAGATGATCAATGCCGATCGATACCAGTCTGGGTGACTTGGCAGCAGCCGGCGCTCATCAAACGAGCGTTCGCAGACAAGATTCGGTTGGCGCCGGCCGTCTGCGGCTGCGTTCGCGTCTACAGCTCTGGAGCGCTGTTGTAATTGTAGCGCGTGAACGCGCATCATCGCATCTGAACGGTGCCTTAGACTTACAAACTCGACCAACATGTGCTCGCTCTTAAGGGATGCGGGTCAGGAGACACGCAGAAACCAGCTTGCTTTGCAGGTGCAGTTCGGCGACGGGGGGGGGGGAACTTTGCACTCTTGTGAACAGAGAGGAACGGAGAGCTATTTCATGAGATCACAAGGGTTGACAGGTTTTACATGGTAGCTCAGCGAGTCTACTCTAGCTTAACATGTTCACAGGTTTTACCAGAGTGAAACCTGAAAACCGGAACTAGTGCAGCAGTGAAAGTGCAAAATGCCCTCCCCCCCCACAGCGCCCATGGAACCTGCTAGCGCTATCGTGACGTCACCCGCAACGTCGCTGTCGCCACAAGTTGGACTTGGTAACCCACTGTCATATCTTTTGCGAAATTTCTGAACAGTGATTCTTTTTTCAGGTGCGCGGTATGCCAAGCTGTCGACATCAGGCGACAGTTGGTCTACAAGGGAAATCGATACTGGGGTTTCTCCTCAAATGATCTTTTGTACATCGATCAATGGAACAATTTCACTCGCTTCGGAAGGGAACGAATCAGGCAGGTCTTCGAGGACTTGGCCAAGAAGTTTGCACTTTCGTGATAATATCTGACGTATACAATAAGTATTATATTTTTGAAACGTAACACAAAATTAATACCACCTAGCATGGATGAAATCTTCATAGGCTATAACGAAATCCTGTAGAAATCACGTCGTTTCCATTAGTAAAACCAAATGTCTGTAAGTTTTAGCGTGACGCGTGCGGTTGCGTTGCGTAACTCATAATTATCCGGACAACAGTTGCTCATAAAAATTAATTTACTGTAACAGAAACAACATTACACTGTAACATCACAGAGACAAATGAATATACAGAACTCGTAACCTTAAAACAAAAGGAATAAGAGAAACACTCACTGATTAATCATTAAAATTTTGAATTTCCTACCGAAAACCCAGAAAAAACTATGACGATAAAACTCGGTACGCTATCAAGGGGGGGGGGGGAAAGGGAGACATTTTCAGTAATGGCATAGCCGAATCGAGTACGTACTATATGATCATATTACTTATGTGAAACTCTTGCACACTGTGAAGGAATAAGGCAACAATCTCGGCCAAACGGATATACGAGTGGAAGACGATGGTCATAAATGTATAGAAAAACAAAAGAAAAAAAATTGGAAACGATCAATAAGGACCGTTTGAGAAAGAGAAACGGGCGAGCACTCCAATACTACAGAGTCAATGAGCACACGAGGCCTGATTTCTGCGAGGCTTCGAAAACTCTTGTCCGGTCAACTAGCAAGCTTGGTCACTCATACAACTGTGCGTACTTCGAAGAATCGTTTGAGATACCATATTTGTCCCACAGTCATCGAAACCAGGACCAGCGCTTCGAACACTGCCCACAGCACCACTCGGCTATTTGTGTTCTCGTTAACTGCAATGTAATAAACAATGTTATTAACTGTAACACAATGACCAACTAACAGAGGTTCGAAAGATCCAGTGGTGAGCAAATCTTTGATCTGCCTCCAGTACATCTATATGATGAAGTTGGATAAACGAATGATTCAAATCACATTTTCACGCAACTCGAAAAGTCAGTTCTACGCAGATAGCTCCGCCCACGCGAGGAAACTCCGCCTACATCCAGGAAAATCAGTCTATAGGTGGGAGGCGAGATTCCAATGAGGTCTACTGGGTGCAGGGGGGTAGTGTAGCGTCGCTTGGCGCAAGAACGAAAGAATCGCACAAGAATTTGATGTAATGGACGAGGAGGGGGGAGGAGTGTGCTATGCTCTAGGTGTTCTCACCCCAAAATGATCCTGTTAAAAAACCCTAGCACAGCAATAAATCATCGAGGACATAAGCCTTTTTGGCTATCTACCCAGTGCGACACCTTCTCTCAAAAGTTGGGCCACATTTCTGTTCAAAGTTCGTCTCAAGGAAGTAAAGCTGGCCATTTCTGAACAGACTGACTACATAACATGAAACCTTGTCTCACGAAAAAAAAACATCCCTATTAACAGTCTTCTTTCAAGACCCTGTGGTGATCACAGTAAATCTCCACAATTCACTTATTTCATTGAGAATAATGTGAACTGTGTATTGAAATAAAGGGGATCAAAGTACTTACTTGATCGATGCACACGCTCCCTGACCTCCATGTATTCCTGCTCGTGCTTCACAGACATGAGCGCAGTAGACAACTCGCGGACCATTTCCTCCAATTTTTGGTTATCTGCTAAAAACAAGATAAAAACTTATGCAGGAAAAACAAGTGGTGTTCTAGAAAACGACAAAGTGGTAGTGAGAGAGAGAGCATATTTCATGAAAGAAAAAAAAACATGAAAATACTGTTGTTTCTTACCAGCTTCCTGGTTTGGTGCAGCTCCTTGTTGTTGCTGGTGAGGCTCGATAATCTCGATAGTAAACATGACGGCCTGAGAACACAATAATTATGCCCTATAAACAACTATGTGACTGGACCTTTCGTCCTTTCCGTCTTCCTCTAAGAAAGAAGATTTTCTCGTTGGTGCGCTCCTTACACTCTGGGCTGGTTTTGGAGCTGTTAGGTTAGAGGGGGAGGAGGCATTATGCACTTCCGTAGCTCCCCATCGAGGTGACGAGTCATCAGGTAGAACTTTGTAAATCTTATGAATCGATGAAGTATCACTAGTTAAAAGTTGTAGAACTTGTCAACTCTTGTAAAACAATGAGCATGACAAAGGGAAGCCGATGTGCTGCCCTCCCTCCCCCCTGACCGAACTGCGGAGCTGTAAGCTATTGTTCCCCAACATTGGCTTGTTCTCGGAACCTGTGAAAAGGTCAACATGCTATTTCCATGCCAATCTATCCAAAAATTCCGTGCCTATGCGCCTTGGGAGGGGCCAGTCTGTGAGCTTGCCTCAGCACTTTAATAGCCAGCAATATGCAGAGAGCGTCGGATCCACTAATCACCTGTGAGAAATTGGAATGTATGAAGTGGCTCATCCACTTTGGAGCTCCCTCCCTCGCAATTGCAGGCCACTACGCGCTCGCGCAAAACTGCAGAATGCCCCTTCGAAGACACACAGCGCCCAACCTCATAAAAACAAAAAATAAAAACATAATTTCAAGAGGCAAGATGGATACCACGGTAAAGAATAATTCCTCACCTTCGGTGTCATGGTACTCATTTGATTTCCGAAACAGTACGTATACACGCCATCCATATGTGCAGCAAAAGTATATTTACCAGAAGATTCTCTTTCACCTTTGTAAATTATCTTGTTATCCGGTCCAGTAATCTGAAATAGGTCCTTAATTAGTTACCCAGTTCTCCTAGTGTTGATTTCCTTGACTGCATACTGCTATTTAATGTTTTTCTGAGCTTATGCTTGTGAGTAGGAGCAGGTTGCTCGTCTGGTGTGCGTCCTCCTTTGAAGGAAAACTATTTCCCAACAACTCAGTGGGGGCCATACTTTCGCGGCAGGAAAGAGTAAGCGGATCAGAGAAAACGAGAATGCATGCCAACGTAGTAGATGGAAATCGATCGAATCTCCTATTCTAAATTCTAAGCTCTCAGTTCGGCATATCAATATCTATACATTTCTTTGGCGTGCACTCTTCTATTCTACAGTGCTGCAAAGTATGAAAGTGGCCCAAAAGAGCGCCAAATGACTAAAAAGGGAGCGCCTCCACGGGTCTTAACACCAGTACCACTTCCAATTTTCATCTGTCATTATCAGAGTCCTATAGAGGAAGTTCTAGTGGGTGTTGAATACATGGAACATTCTAAATGGCGATAAATTATATGTCGTCGTGATTTAATTCTTCTTTCAATCTACATGCAGTTCTTTAAGGGGCATTATGCAAGCAAATTGCTAATGCGCCGAGTGTTCTTTCACACGACATGAACGCTTTTCCACAATTCCAGAGATCGTATGTTGCCAATTTTGAAGGAAATCTACTGACTTTACTGGTGTTTCGCCTAAAAAATAGAGAAACGAAGAAGGTCAAAACATTTCTGACAACGGATAGCGCAGGAAAAAGGGCAAAACGCCCCTTCCTCTAAGCCGAATCGCGCCAAATTTCTATCACGAGTTCTGTTTTTACACTAATGCTTTTCGTTTTTTTTTCAGTGTTAGATGGTATTATTAAGCGATAGGATGTTGCTTCGCTGGCATAAGACAAGCACGTCCGAAGAACTCGGTGAAGCTGCTAGGGGAAGCTCAGTCGGCGGTGTTCTCGATGACTTTTTTTGCTTTTTCTTTCTTGAGAGTCATTTAGCGACAACAGGTCAAAACGCCATCACCCAATATGCAGTCAGTTCGCAGGGTTTGTTTCTAATTCACAGCGTTATAGTGCAGTAGTTCGTTTCGATTACGGTAATCACCATTTTGCACAATGAGTTTTATGCTACGAAAAGGTGGGATCCTCATTCTCAGGTCGTTAATTCGAAATACTGCACCATAACGCTGTGCCTTAAAAACAAACCCTGCGAATGACTGCATATTGGGTAATGGCGTTTCGACCTGTTGTCGCTAAATGACTCTCAAGAAAGAAAAAGCAAAAAAAAAGTCATCGAGAACACCGCCGACTGAGCTTCCCGTAGCAGCTTCACCGAGTTCTTCGGACCTGCTTGTCTTATGCCAGCGAAGCAACATCCTATCGCTCAGTAATACCATCTAACACTGAAAAAAAAACGAAAAGCATTAG